CCTTCTCATTTAAAAGAAAGGATTCTCAGCCACTTATACTTTCCTCTTATCCTATGTTACAGTCCAAGAATATTTTAATAAAGATTAACTAGCATATCCCAAAATAAAACTTTGCAATATTATCTTTATTAATATAATAGGCAACATAGGATGCATTTTTCCTCGTAGATTAAGATCTCTTCACTGGGAACTAAAAAATGAATCCTATGCGTCTAAAGCGTTTTGCAGCCATTAAATCTTCATAACTTGAACTACCAAAAATTTGTTGGCATGGTCAAGGGCTAAAGCGCAACGACCCTTCGAAACTGGCCCGGTCTCAATAGTCGATGTGTTATTTGTATAACAGTGTAGTGCGTAGATCGCTGTCACGCTACATTACAATTTTCCCTGGACGTCATACATATATATATTTATATAATATATCGTGTTCTTCTATCTGATATATGATGTTGAATAATGTTATCTAATATCTTGTTTTTCTCTCTTCTTGTTCTGATTGAATATTAGTGAAGGGTGACAAGTAACATTGCAGCATTCTTTACAAAATACACTAGAAGAGTACAAAGGGGCAGCTTGCAACTTTACAAAAATATAAATAAAGAAGCAATGCAACCATTAGAAAAGTACAAATAAGTAAGCAGTGCAACCATGAGAAGAGTACAAATATAATTAAGCAGTGCAACTATTAGAAGAGTACAAATAAGTAAGCAGTGTAACCATTAGAAGAGTACAAATATAAGTAAGCAGTGCAACTATTAGAAGAGTACAAATAAGTAAGCAGTGCAACCATTAGAAGAGTACAAATATAAGTAAGCAGTGCAACTATTAGAAGAGTACAAATAAAACGGCAGTGCAACTATTAGAAGAGTACAAATATAAGTAAGCAGTGCAACTATTAGAAGAGTACAAATAAGTAAGCAGTGCAACCATTAGAAGAGTACAAATATAAGTAAGCAGTGCAACTATTAGAATAGTACAAATAAAACGGCAGTGCAACTATTAGAATAGTACAAATAAAACGGCAGTAAAACTATTAGAATAGTACAAATAAATCGGCAGTGCAACTATTAGAATAGTACAAATAAAACGGCAGTGCAACTATTAGAATAGTACAAATAAAACGGCAGTGCAACTTTTAGAATAGTACAAATAAAACGGCAGTGCAACTATTAGAAGAGTGAACTGAAGGGGCAATGCAACTATTAGAAGAGTGAACTGAAGGGGCAGTGCAACTAATAGAGTAGTATAAGTAAAGGGGCAGGGAAAATGCTAGAAGAGTACAAATAAAGGTGAAGTGAATCTGTTATAAAAGTACGAAAAAGGGGTAGTGCAACTATTAGAAGAAGAATACAAATAAAGTGAAAGTGCAACTTTTAGAAGAGTCTAAATAAAGGGGTAGTGCAACTATTATAAGAAGAATACAAATAAAGGGGCAGTGCAACTATTTGAAGAGTAAAAAATAAGGGACAGTGCGGCTATTAGAAGCGTAGAAATAAAGGGGCAGTGCAACTATAAGAAGAATACAAAAGGAATATAGACAAGAGACCTATATTTGTTTACTTAACATAAGTGTACTGTTTATGGGAGAAATGTAAATATTGTCAATATTCCTCTCAAGAACTGTTGTAAACAAAGGTACGGGGGTTCCTCGTGTATATTCCTTGTATAGATATGTATGATATATTGTATATCCTTCCCCTTGCAGTGGGTTGTATCTATATGTTTATCATAAATGATTGGAAAGAAGAATGCCAAATTCTATAAAGTTTCGAATATTCAGGAGATAAACTACAGGTTCTGCCAACACCTTGATAGAAAAATATATATTTACATTTTCGGACCAGAGCATATCAAGGATCATGGATAACCAAGGACAAACATACCAAGGACCTTAAAAAACTAGGATAGGAAAGAAAGTCAGAACCTGCTTACAGGAAATACGGTTAAAATCTATCAAGGATCATAGTTTTTCAAATAAAAGAAATTTAGAATCTGTCAAGGACTTTAAAACCAAATGAAAAAATGTTAGGATCTATAAAGTTCCTTATATATCCAAATGAAATAATGTTAGACCTATAATAAGGACTGTTTGTAGGAACGGTTAGACCTTATCAAGGACCGTATACATAAAGAAAGATAATTAGACCTTTTAAAAGAAATGTTGAATAGCTAAACGGAAGAAATTTAGTCCTGATCAAGGAACGTATCTATCTAAAGGTACGACACCAAGAACCTATCAAGGACCGTTAAAACCCAAAGAAAAATACAGAACCTATCAAGGACCGTAAATAACCAAAGAAAAATACAGAACCTATCAAGGACCGTGTAAAAACCAAAGAAAAATACAGAACCTATCAAGGACCGTAAATAACCAAAGAAAAATACAGAACCTATCAAGGACCGTTAAAAACCAAAGAAAAATACAGAACCTATCAAGGACCGTAAATAACCAAAGAAAAATACAGAACCTATCAAGGACCGTAAATAACCAAAGAAAAATACAGAACCTATCAAGGACCGTAAAAAACCAAAGAAAAAGACAGTAAGAACCTATCAAGTACCGTAAACAACCAAAGAAAAGACAGTAAGATCCTATCAAGGACCGTAAACAGCCAAAGAAAAGACAGTTAGAACCTATCAAGGACCGTAAACAACCAAAGAAAAGATAGTTAGATCCTATCAAGGACCATAAATAACCAAAGAAAAGACAGTTAGATCCCATCAAGGACCGTAAACAACCAAAGAAAAGACAGTTAGAACCTATCAAGGACCGACCAAAGAAAAGACAGTTAGAACCTATCAAGGACCGTAAATAACCAAAGGAAAGACAGTTAGATCCCATCAAGGACCGTAAACAACCAAAGAAAAGACAGTTAGAACCTATCAAGGACCGAACACAACCAAAGAAAAGACAGTTAGTCCCTCGAACGATATCACGAACAACTTGTTTACGGTTTTAAAACTTTTTTATTTCTAATACACTTGAAAAACAACCGGTTTGATTACAAATCAATTATTTGAATTATAACAGCAATAACTTGTAATAATACGTTACAATAATCATGGTATTAAAGGGAGTGACTGGCTATGTAAGGTAGTTAAACTGAGTATGCAGTCTTGTGGACAAATTCTTTAGAATTCATTTGAGACAAAAAAAAAACTTTTTAAAGACCTGTAAATCCTGAGTTTGAGAGCAAAGTCGACATTCAAAACTGTACTATTGGGTGGATACGTTTTCAGAATTGTTTTTATTAATTATTAAATAACGACTACAAAAAATGATAACAAAATTCTACAGTAAACTAATTAGTTGTTTAGGAACAGGTTGAGAAAATGAAAATTAACTCTTATCATCGAAAATAAGTAATCTTATTCAATTATTAGTTTCTATAACCTCTGCAGTCTGCAGTCTTCAATATAATGATGAAAAAATGAATAATTTATTCTAACTTTGATTTATTGACAAATTTTTTTGAGAAATATGTTCTTAAATATCTGATTAGTTTACTATAGAACTTTTACTATATTTTTCGTCGTCGCCATTTATAATTTAAAAAAAAGCCGATTCTAAAACGTGCCCACCCAAATTCATGATTTTGAACGTCGACTTTGCGCTCAAACCCAGTAATTATACATCGTGAAAACATTTTATATGTCTCAAATGAATCCTAAAGAAGTTGTCCACAACACAGCATACTTGCAGTTCAACTACTTTACATAGCCGGTCTGTCTCTTTGATAATAACAAACTTTTATCACAATTAAATATTCAGAATATTCGTCTTAGAAATTTAATCAATTTGTAAATAAGATAAGGATTTCAACTAAACAAAATTTTAGAATTATTTTTATATAATAAATATTTACAATATTTAGCACAATATTTCAGTTTTATATACAACAAATACTAATAGATAATCTAAGAATATATGAACAAATGAATAGATGAATACATGAAAGGATGAATAGATCATTGATTATAGGTGAACAAATAAATAGATGAATGCGTGAAAGGATGAATAGATCATTGATGAATATAAAAAGGATGAATAAATGAAAAAAATAAATAGGTGAATAAATGAAATTCTGAATGAGTCAAAAAATGATTGAGTAAGTAAGCAAATAAAATATTTCTCTCTTGTTGTTCAAAATTGCGAATTTTTTCTGTGTGTCCTACAAATAATTTAGTTTTGAGTTTGTACTAAAATGAAAAGTGGCTTTTTAGAATAATCATTAAAACTTTTAAAGGGACCATTCACTTATTTGGGTAATTTCAGGGTAAACTAAACAGCCTATTCGCTGTTGATTAGTAATAGTCTTACTTTTCAAAAACAACTGTGGCCGGAGAAAAAGTTGATTTTTCGTTCAGAATTCGAGCGCAAAGGGACGGTCCCTTTCTATAGACACTAATTGATGTTTTTTTCGGCATGTTGTGAATCAAAATAAATTTCGAATATAAAATTAAACTGTAGTATCTAATCGTTAATTGTAAATGTTATTATTTTTAATTTTTTTTTGTTTTTTAACTTTCTATTTCTAAAATAACACTATTTTATCGCATTCAAAATTGTGTATTGCCTGTGTAAAAAGCTGAATTGGACGCGGCATGACAAATGAAAAGTTGTGCACATACGGGAAAAAAATATACAAAATCTACGAACCAAAATACGATTAATGATTAATTGATTGTCGTAGAGACGTCGTCTTTGTAAACACATTTTACATGTTTTAATACGAAAAACGTAAATTTCTTGCTAACTCAAATATCAAAAGTTTTAAGATTTTAGTACATAATAACGAACACATAATGCCATTAAAATATAATAAATTTAAATGTTATTGGGCTGCTGTTACTGAAAAAAACAACAAATAGTGTCTATAGAGAGGGACCGTCCCTTTCCGCTCAAATTCTAGACGAAAAATCGGCTTTTTCTCCGGCCACAGTTGTCTTTGAAAAGTAAGACTATTACCAATCAAGAGCGAACAGGCTGTTTAGTTTACCCTGAAATTACCCAAATAAGTGAACGGTCCCTTTAATAGCAAAGAATTATCTTTAATAAACATCATCTTTATACATTCAAGTCAAATGAATTATTCCTAACTTTCTGATCTTTTTTATCAAGACTCCGATACTGAAACATGATTTAACGGGATGAAAAATCATCAAATTGAAGACTCAATTATATCAAAAATCTATGATGTATGTTAATCAAATGCAAGAAAATAAATAAATAGTCAATATTATCTAAGATCAAACTTAATTATTTATTAAATTCAGAAGATTAAAAAAATAAATCTAAGATAAAAACCAATTTTTTTTTCTGCATATCATTTCAGTGGTCAGAACTTTTTCGTGAAAATATGCCTACAATGTCTGATCTCGATATCCACGGTTTTAAATTTCACAATAATTTGCAAAGATCAAATATTATTAATAAGAACAAAAATATTATCACATTAAGACTCATGAGATCAAATGTCATTATTTAAGAGTTATAAGATCATATTCATCAAAATCAAACTATAAATATAAATTTTTGAAGAATTTTCCAAAAAATAGTTTACTGGATTGAGGCCTCAATTTTGGAAATACCATTGACTGGAGGCCCCCATTAATTTATCGTTGACCGGTGGCCTATATTTCTAATATGTCGTTGATTGGAGACCACCAACAGCCATCTTGATTAAATCCTAGACTGAGGTCATCATCTTTATCAAATCCTAGACTAGAGGCCACCATTTTTACTAATTCCCAGACTGGAAGCCACCATCTTTACTAATTCCTAGATTGGATGGCCACCATCATGACTAAATCCTAGACTGAAGGGCACCATCTTGACCACATACTAGACTGGAGGCCACCATCTTGACACTAGACTGGAGGCCACCATCTTGACTAAATCCTAGACTGGAGGCCACCATCTTGACCACATACTAGACTGGAGGCCACCATCTTGACTAAATCCTAGACTGGAGGCCACCATCTTGACCACATACTAGACTGGAGGCCACCATCTTGACTAAATCCTAGACTGGAGGCCACCATATTGACCACATACTAGACTTGAGGCCACCATCTTGACCAGATATTAGACCGGAGGCCACCATCTTGACCAAATATTAGACTGGAGGCCACCATCTTGACCACATATTAGACTGGAGGCCACTATCTTTTTCAAATATTAGACCGGACTAGGCCGACAATACCTGGCCTTCCCGCTGCAAGTACATTTTTGAATTCTTGATTCTGATCTTTTATTCTTAAATAGATTCTACAAGAAGTGTTTTTATCATGAACTAGAGTTTGATACTGGAAAGAATGCACCGTTAAATTCTTCAATTGTCTAGAGGTAACAGCGTCTACGGAAACAACCCCTGAAAATTCAAAAATGGATTTAAGGGATGGAAAAAGCTAGGTTTTAAGTATCCATCATGCAAAGATGGCAATGCGCAATTCGCAAGGGAACTTTTAATAGCTTTGACTAATTAAGTATGAATTATGAATCATTATCTGGTAGAATTAAACCTTTGCATAATTGACTTCATGGTACAATATAAATAATGTATCTATACGTAAAATATTTGTATGAACTCTGTATTTATTAATAAACCCTCTCTACCCCCGCCCCTCTAAACTACTATTTGATTTGATTGTTTGGTTTAGGTTTAGGGAGGGATAAAGAGGCCTAGAGCAGGGTCTAATCTCAACAGATTACTTGGAAATCAATTGGAGCAAATACTAGATGTCATTACAAACAGACAACTCTGAAACCAGTACATACAGGGTTCCTCACAATTCCATACATCTTTGTCACAGATTATATCGTGAATCGTGAATTGTTCTAAAGTGGGATTTTCGGAACAAATTATAATAATAGAAGAGTTTGCTTGCAGGGTAAAAAAGGTCAAAGGTGGAATGAGTATTCTGGGCGTAATTTGGCGTACATAGGTGTACTGTTCACAGAAATACGGGTACAACACACAGTAATATGTGTACTGTACGATGCATAGGTTTACAGCGAATAGATAGTAGGGATTGGATGATCGGAAACACCAAACTTTGACCGGAAATGTTTCCTTTTTTGTAAAATTTATCTACCTGATTCATGCCAGGACTAGGGCCTTGGAAGAACTTGCAGTTCCCTTTTCCGTTTACAGACCTAGACAGAATAGTTTACAGTTTACATACCTAGACAGAATAGTTTACAGTTTACATACCTAGACAGAATAGTTTACAGTTTACAGACCTAGACAGAATAGTTTACTGTTTACAGACCTAGACAGAATAGTTTACAGTTTACAGACCTAGACAGTCCTTGGTGTTTTGCATATTTACCCTGAGGTGCACTCTTATCCCTGGTAGTTTGTAAATATACCTTGAGGTGCACCCTTATCATGCCCTTATCCCTGGTGGTTTGTATATATACCTGGAGGTGCACCCTTGTCCCTGGTGGTTTATATATATACCTGGAGGTGCACCCTTGTCCCTGGTGGTTTGTATATATAACTTGAGGTGCACCCATGTCCCTGGTGGTTTGTACATATATATACCTGGAGATGCATCCTTGTCCCTGGTGGTTTTTACATATATATACCTGGAGATGGATCCTTGTCCCTGGTGGTTTGTATATATACCTGGAGGTGCACCCTTGTCCCTTGTGGTTTATATATATACCTGGAGGTGCACCCTTGTCCCTGGTGGTTTGTATATATAACTTGAGGTGCACCCATGTCCCTAGTGGTTTGTACATATATATACCTGGAGATGCATCCTTGTCCCTGGTGGTTTGTACATATATACACCTGGAGGTGCACCCTTGTCCCTGGTGGTTTATATATATACCTTGAGATGCACCCTTGTCCCTGGTGGTTTATATATATACCTTGAGGTGCACCCTTGTCCCTGGTGGTTTTTATATATACCTTGAGGTGCACCCTTGTCCCTGGTGGTTTGTATATATACCTGGAGGTCTACCCTTGTCCCTGGTGGTTTGTATATATACCTGGAGGTGCATCCTTGTCCCTGGTGGTTTGTAAATTTACCTTGAGGTGCACCCTTGTCCCTGGTGGTTTGTATATATACCTGGAGGTGCACCCTTGTCCCTGGTGGTTTGTACATATATATACCTGGAGATGCATCCTTGTCTCCCTGGTGGTTTGTACATATATACACCTGGAGGTGCACCCTTGTCCCTGGTGGTTTATATATATACCTTGAGATCCACCCTTGTCCCTGGTGGTTTGTATATATACCTTGAGGTGCACCCTTGTCCCTGGTGGTTTGTATATATACCTGGAGGTCTACCCTTGTCCCTGGTGGTTTGTATATATACCTGGTGGTGCATCCTTGTCCTGGTGGTTTGTAAATTTACCTTGAGGTGCACCCTTGTCCCTGGTGGTTTGTACATATACCTTGAGGTGCATCATTGTCCCTGGTGGTTTGTATATATACCTTGAGGTGCACCCTTGTCGCTGATGGTTTGTATATATACCCAGAGGTAGGCCAGGGGCTGAGTATCCTGTATCCCCGATGAATACAGGGGGGGAGGGCAGAGATCCATCCTAACAAAAATGACAGTTTAGTTTTACCTACAGTGATTACAAAAATCACGAGGATAGTTCATTTTGAAAGCTTGCTTTTAAGAATAGATTTTTTTAAAACTACTTTAAAAACCGAACGAAAAACGCAACAAAATTCTTCAAAAAAGTCTTTAAAAAAAGATTTTAAATGAATCCTAAAATGTTTACTCTCAGTTCAACTGTCATACCTAGCCAGTCTCTCCCTTTAATGCTAAAAATTACTAACACCAATTCTAAATAAAATGATCAAAAGAAGACTTTAATAATTTCACTTTATGTTGTTAATTATTTTAACGTAAAGAAACTTGAACAGTAGAAAACATATTTTACCCATGGATAAAGATAGATTGCGCATAAGACGACGTTTTCATCTTGAAAGATTTAATGTTTTAAAGATATTCCTATTGTATAAATTAACTAGGTCGGTTGTGAACATTGGCTGTTCTTATGTCATTGAGTACTTGTGGTGTACGTGAGTTCTGTAGAGAGAAATTTAAATTAGTATAGTCCTTCTCATGTCCTTCTTCAGTTATATTGTTGTTCAAATAGGTCCATTCCCGGAGTTATTTTACACTCTCTTCTATGAAATCCATTAAAACACCAAACCACCCTGCTTATCATTGAAGTACACTTTGAACCCTAGAAGTATGAGTTCGCGGACTGTACAATTCTTGGTGATTTTGCGTACATAAGCTATCTATGTTTATTCATTTATCTATGATTTTACCATATATATATAAGATTGTAAAGAAATGGAAATCATTGTAAAAGTGAAAAGTTTTAATCTATAAGTATATATCGTCTTTGATTAAGAAGATCAATTCCTGGAACTAAAAGGTTGGAAAATCTTAGAAAATTCTTTATGTTAATCTTTCTAATCCAAGAATCGAAGATTTCTAGAAATAAAATACACTTCCTGCGAGTCAGCAGTTATTCATTTAACTTGAACAGATTTAAATAACCTTCACTGTACACTGTACAGTTATTTATTTAACTTGAACAGATTTAAATAACCTTACACTGTACACTGTACAGTTATTTATTTAACTTAAACAGATTTAAATAACCTTACACTGTACACTGTACAGTTATTTATTTAACTTGAACAGATTTAAATAACCTTACACTGTACACTGTACAGTTATTTATTTAATTTGAACAGATTTAATTAAATAACCTTACACTGTACACTGTACACTTATTTATTAACTTGAACAGATTTAATTAAATAAACTTAAACTGTTCTTTACAAAAGGACTTATATTAGAATGAGTTATGCACAAAGAAGGATATTTCATTTCATCAACTACTTGACTTAGTGTTGATTTAGTCTTACATTTTGTTTATTTAACTAAGAATTTAAAGAATTTGAGCCGTTCAAACATGGTTGGTTCAACTTAAAATTTTTATCATTGTTTCGAGATTTAAGCCAGTGCGCAATTTGAACTATTGATTGACGGTTTAGCGACGCGGATCAAATTAATTAAATTCCTTCCTTTTTATATCAAACTATTTGAATCGAAGGCAGTAAGGCAGAAACCGATCAATTCTATGATATTTCACGGCGTCATTAAAGTCTCGTCCTTTGTGAGTAACCATGTATCTGTTTTAAAAAATTATGAAAATTATTCATTATTCTTAATTGTTACTGACCGTTGCCGCCTCCCCCGATGTCGGCTATCCGCCAGATTGCCGTCCACTTAAACACATCGGCCAGTAGATCAGATTAAACACAAGGAACATAATCGGGAACACTACTAGGAACACATCGTCAACCTACAATCAAATGCTTTTTTGTGAACAATCCCTTTATTGTTGTTTGTTTGTAAATTCGATATATTCCCTTGTCTATTGTTTAATCCAGAGATTGTTTAAGTGAATTGGATTTAATAGGTTAAACTGTGTATTTAGTATCCTGGTATCCTGAGTTATAAATAGTCTACTAGATCGATGATGGTAGAAATAGTTTTACTTTATAAACCAGAACCTAACTTACCCCCCCCCTCCCCACATAACAAGTTTACAATAACAATCAACATCAGCTAGAACTGTTTGCAACAGAGATATTTTAGAATGTTTGTTTTTTGTGTTCAATGATTTTAACCTTATTTTTTATTTAGTCATGTTCAATGACACCTCTCTAACTCTGTAAAAAGAATGGGGGGGGGGGGTTGGATATCCTACAATCATATTCATTATAAAATATACAAATATTATAGCACGCAAAGTGAAAAAATAAATTTTTGTTTACTTTCTGTAATCGTTGTACAAAAAGTGTATTGTCAGTCTGGAATTAAATTTGATTAAGAAGAAAAATATGCCAAACGGAAATAAATATCAACGTAAATCTAAACCACTTAGATTTACGTTGATATTTACGTGAATATTCAAACGGGAGTGACCGGCAATGTATGGTAGCTGAACTGAGAATGTAGTATTGTGGAGATATTTTTTAAGATTCATTCGAGATGTATATTTTCTGAGTTGGAGAGCAAAGTCGACTTTCAACATCATCCTTCTGGGTGGGTACGTTGTAAGAATCGATTTTTTTAAAATCATTAAATATGGAGGACAAAAAATGTGAAAAAATCTACAGTAAACTTATTAGATGTTTAGGAACATATTTATCAATTTAAATTTTCTCAATAAATCACTGTCAGAATCAATTATTTCTTTTTTATCATTAAATTGAATTTCTTATTCTTTGTGAGTTTGTTTGCAGATACCTTCAAATTCTTTATTTATCGTCTTTTTAATAAAATTTCAAGGAAATCTACAGAAAATGTTTGTGAACAATGAGACATTACAGAAACCAATAATTGAATAAGATTATTAGTTTTTATGATTATAGTTGATTTTTATTTGCTCCACCTATTCCTAAACAACTATTTAGTTTACTGTAGAATGTTTACTACATTTTTCATCTTCGTTATTGAACAATTTTTAAAAAACAGATTTTCAAAATCATCCCTCAAAAATGAACAAATGATTCCTAAAATTTTCTTCACAATACTACATTCTCAGTTCAACTCCCATACATTGCCGGTCACTCCCTTTAAGAGAAAGATATTTAGAGATTAAGAAACATTGTATATTAAAACTCTAAAGGGTGTTTTTTCTTGTCAAAATCTGATTATAATTTTCCTAGAGTAAAGAATTCTGGCGAAAAAAAATTTTAGTTCCTTGTCTTCTTTATAAAATAGTCAATATAATTTTAATGATGAAAACTAGTTGAAAAGAAGTCAATAAGTCATAATAAGTCAAAGCCAATTTAAAGTTATAAATTTCTTGAATGAAGTAAACCCAACTTTTGTCAAAGTTATTTGATAGTTATTCACTTTAAAGCTTCACATATCACTAAAAGGGTAATATTCTTCCAACATATGACCAGTAATCTTCTTACCATTGATATTTAATTTTCCTGCCTTTGATCTTCCAACGTATTCTCTTTAATTGTATTGTCGTTGATCAATGATCTTCCAACCTTTGATCTATAATCTCCCTACCTTTGATCCATCAACGTATATGCTCTTTAATCGTATTGTCTTTGATCTATGATCTTCCTACCTTTGATCTATAATCTTTCTACCTTTGATCTATAATCTTTCTACCTTTGATCTATAATCTTTCTACCTTTGATCTTCCAACATATGATCTGTTATTTTGTTGTCTTGGATCTGTAATCTTTCTACCTTTGATTTATAATCTTCCTGCCTTTGATCTTTAATCTTTCTACCTATGATCTATATCTCCCAACCTTTGATTTATAATCTTCCTACCTTTGATCTATAATCTTCCTACCTTTGATTTATAATCTTCCTTCCTATGATCTATATCTCCCAACCTTTGATCTATAGTCTTCCTTACTTTGATCTATAATCATCCTACCTTTGATCTATAATCTTCCAACCTTTGATCTGTAATCTACCTACCTTTGATCTATAATCTTCCTTCCTTTGATCTATAATCATCCTACCTTTGATCTATAATCTTCCTTTCTAATTGTACGAAGTTTTCCTTCTTCTTCAGTTTGTTTTCTTGCTCTCTTCCTCTTGAGACAGCTTTTCTTCTTCTTCCAAAGTAGATATGCGTATCCAACTGAGAGCAAGAGTATTTGTTGTACTTTTACAATGGAAATGAGTTCTTGCAACAAACTCTTATTTTTATATCATTGGAACCGGATGTCGTAGACTTTTGATATTTCAAACTATGAATTCGCTTTGAACTTGATTTACACCATCACGTTGCTTAAATATCCAGGGAATAACAACTTAGAGTTTGAGCCAAAAACTCAGTATTTTTGCAATAAAATAACGACTACCCCTATCTCCCCCCCGCAGCTTTTTATATTATTAAAATCATCCTGTATTGTTGTACTGAATATGACTGGGGAATACCCTGTCAATCAGATCACAAAACAAACATTATTCAACTCTTTTCTAAGAATCAAGAAAATGTTTTTTATAATTTTCGTATACCCTAATTTGGTAAAAACCATTAAAACTGTCGAATAGACAGATATTTACGCTATTGCTTGAGTATAATATTTTATTTTAAAGTAAAAACATTTAGCAGTATTAGGTTGAAAATTACACATTAAGTGTGAAGGGTTTCATGGTTTTCATGTGAACCCTGTATTTACTGACATATCTGCACTGAACAAAATACAGAGAAAAAAGTGCTGAGGAGTTTCTTATCCCTATATCTGTGCAACCTGATGTCGTAGAACTTTGATATTTCAAACTATGAATCCTGTTAGATCAAGTATTTTAAGTTTGACAGGTTGCAAAGGTATAGATAATAGAATAAAATATAGCGAAATTGTTAATATAGTATATTCTGATTGTTTTTTTTCTGTATCTACATCTGTTTCTGTATCTGTGTCAGTATCTGTATCTGTATCTGCATCTGCATCTGCATCTGTATCTGTATCTGTATCTGTATCTGTATCTCTGTATCTGTATCTGTATCTGTATCTGTATCTGTATCTCTGTATCTGTATCTGTATCTGTATCTGTATCTGTATCTGTATCTGTATCTGTGTATCTGTATCTGTATCTGTATCTGTATCTGTATCTGTATCTGTATCTGTATCTGTATCTGTATCTGTATCTGTATCTGTATCTGTATCTGTATCTGTATCTGTATCTGTATCTGTATCTGTATCTGTATCTGTATCTGTATCTGTATCTGTATCTGTATCTGTATCTGTATCTGTATCTGTATCTGTATCTGTATCTGTATCTGTATCTGTATCTGTATCTGTATCTGTATCTGTATCTGTATCTGTATCTGTATCTGTATCTGTATCTGTATCTGTATCTGTATCTGTATCTGTATCTGTATCTGTATCTGTATCTGTATCTGTATCTGTATCTGTATCTGTATCTGTATCTGTATCTGTATCTGTATCTGTATCTGTATCTGTATCTGTATCTGTATCTGTATCTGTATCTGTATCTGTATCTGTATCTGTATCTGTATCTGTATCTGTATCTGTATCTGTATCTGTATCTGTATCTGTATCTGTATCTGTATCTGTATCTGTATCTGTATCTGTATCTGTATCTGTATCTGTATCTGTATCTGTATCTGTATCTGTATCTGTATCTGTATCTGTATCTGTATCTGTATCTGTATCTGTATCTGTATCTGTATCTGTATCTGTATCTGTATCTGTATCTNATTTTAAGGGTTCAACTTCCTGTTGGTCATTTAAGGGACTGTAAGTGTCGTTTTTAAGTCACCCTACTTACAATGAGGGGAATGTCCGATTTACAATGGTTCCATTTTACCCTTGACGAATTATCGATGGAAAAGAACGTGTTTTCCTCAAAAGTCTAGAATATTCTGTGTCCAAAGCGTTTTCAAAAGTTGGATTGTAAAAATATGTAATTATTAATTTAACATCAAGTGTTTCTGTCGACAAATAAGAATATGTCCGTCATCCTTAATCAGTAAAAGGCTTAAAAGGTACTGTTGTGAATCAGACACGACACTCTTCTTTTAAACGGTCTTGTTAATTATCCTTACGTGTCCCTTCATAGTCTCTTCATGTGCGTAAGTAATATACTTAAAAGTAAAAAACCGGGGCTGATAAAAAGATTGTGCTGTTTTGATTTTATCCAGGTAGTGTTACATCAAATGAAACTAGATGCCTACCTGTTTAATTTAGTTTTGTGCCAACCTTTAAGATAATACAGTGGGTTTCCAAACCGGTCCTTTTCTACCTTTAGAGAACAGACTATATATAGCCTGGTGTTCCAAGATCCAGAGTTTAGCAAAGGTGTTCGATCCCTTTCTTTGAAAAATTATTCCATCTTGCAACCTGATGGTGTAAACCTTTCAAATTTCAAACTTAGGCTATTTCATCCATAGCCGAATTGACCAAGTAACTTTGACATATTTTTAGGTTTATTTTCGGACCCTTTCACCTTAAAGATACTTAATTGTTCCCTAGAGATTGTTCAGTCAAGAAAGAAAATAAAGTGTAAAAGGATAGATTTCAATTCTATTCAAATACATAATCCTTAATTTGAGTTTTATCAATAAATAACCAAAATTGCTTTAAAAACATAAAAAATATTTTTGAAGAAGAAATTTCCAATTTTACTATCCCCCCCCCCCAAAAAAAAACCCTGAGGTAAATAACATAGTTATCTACTAAATGCTCCCTGCCTAAGGCACCAAAGACGAAGAATATACAGACAAGCATCCAGGCTGCTATAGCGGTCATCCCCTCAACATTCGGAGAGTTCGACGTTACAATATTAAAAATATTGATTAGCACGAGGAATAGAGTAATCAGCATAGCCATCCTTCCAGGGACAACCTAGATAGAGATACAGATACAGATACAGATTCAAATACAGCCACAGATACAGATACAGATACAGATACAGATACAGATACAGATACAGATACAGATACAGATACAGATACAGATACAGATACAGATACAGATACAGTTGCAGTAACAGTTACAGTTACAGTTACAGTTACAGTTACAATTACAGATATAGTTGCAGTTACAGTTACAGTTGCAGTGCCAGTATCAGTTACAGTTATCGTTAGTTACAGATACAGAGAAAAAGAACGAGATAGAGAAAGATTCAAATACAGATACAGATACAGAGAAAGACGCAGATACCTTTCTGGATGATGAATGACTACAAAAACATCTGTTTGGTGATGAATGACTAACAATATCTCAGTTTGATGATAAATGACTATAAATACCTCTGGTGGGATGAGAAACCCGACCCATGAGACTACTACGAATAGTCCAGATGGAAGATAGTAGATATACAAATACTTCAGAACGTGCCGGGATAGTCGCATCTCAAATCCTGGAAATATTATTTTTATTTCTGTAAACAACGTTCTTTAAAAAGTTTTATTAAGAACATGACATGACATTGTTCTCCTTCTAATCCTCTAATACAGCTCCTAGATTCAATATATTTCCCGTTTATGGATGTTTTTGTGTTGAACATAAGCTTTAAATCTGCCAGGGGTTTACAAGGGATGCCAAGTTCTCATGTTCTATGATACTCTACACTTGCTTTCCTACCTTGCAGTCTTCAAACCTTTATTTATAAAATAACATTTTTAAGTTTTTCTTTTTATTCTTGCAGATCTAGGATCTAGGATCTTGTATCTAGGATCTTGGATCTAGATCTTGGATCTAGATCTTGGATCTAGGATCTAGGATCTAGGATCTAAGATCTAAGATCTAGGATCTAGGATCTTGGATCTAGGATCTAGGATCTAGGAAATTGGATCTAGGATCTTGGATCTAGGATCTAGGATATTGGATCTAGGATCTAGGATTTAGGATCTAGGATCTAGGATCTAGGATCTAGGATCTAGGATCTAGGATCTAGGATCTAGGATCTTGGATCTAGGATCTAGGATCTAGGATCTAGGATCTTGGATCTAGGATCTTGGATCTAGGATCTTGGATCTAGGATCTTGGATCTAGGATCATTTTTTCATGATATTTCCAATATATCCCTCCAATATCTCATGGATTCTCTCTTCCTCCTAATATCTTCCATATACCCTCACCCTCCCAATATCTCCAATACCCTCTCACTCCAATATCTCCTATATACCCTCTTCCTCCCAATGTTTCTTAGGTACCCTCTCACCCCAATATCTCCATGAAACCCTCTCCCTACCAATAACTCCTATACACCCTCACCCGACCATTATCTCCTAGATATCACCCCTCCCAACATCTAATTTACAACTATACCCCTCTCTTAGCCCCTCTTTGGTAACCCTGTTATCTCCTTCAATCACTTAATCACCATCACTTACTCCTGATAAACCAACCTCAACCAGACCTCCCCCCCCCCTACTTCTCCCTAATAAGTACCCAACTTGGGTCCAACTCCCCCCCACACCCTCCCCCTTCTACCAACATTATTTCTATGACCGAAGCTGTATCCCCTGGACCCTGATATAGATATATATATTACCTCAAGCTTTAACACCTCTACAACCATATTCAATACCCTTGGACCAATAAAAATGTCCCCAATGGGTTCAAGCCCTTTTTACATTTGACAAACAAATCTTCTACCCTCTCCCCATCTCTTAAGCTCTACACCTCCTTCATCTCAATACAGTTCTATTGTTTAGACCTTCTTTGTCTCAAGACAGTTCTATTGTTCTACACCTCCTTTATCTCTAGACAATTCTACTGTTCTAATTACACCTTCTTTATCTCAAGACAATTATACTGCTCTACAACTCCTTTATCTCTAGACAATTCTAATGTTCTAGATACACCTCCTTTATCTCAAGACAGTTCTACTGTTCTACACCTCCTTTATCTCAAGACAGTTCTACTGTTCTACATCTTATTTATCTCAAGACAATTCTACTGTTCTACACCTCCTTTATCTCTAGACAATTCTACTGTTCTGCACCTCCTTTATCCCAAGACAAGTGTATTGTCCTACACCTTCTTTACCTCAAGACAAGTTTATTGTCCTGCACCTTCTTTACCTCAAGACAATTCTTAAGGGTCATTCTTTATGAACTCAAATAGTTTTTGATGATCAGGGAAATCAATGTCATGGATTTTCTTTAAATTTTGCACACAGGTGACATATTATGAGAAAAAAATTAAATCCAAAGTTTCTAGCTCCTGTGACCTCTGGTTACTGAGTTATACCCTACTAAAGTTCCGGCCTCAAGCCAGTTTTCAGCCTGACCTCGCATGCTTTGGTAAAGCCAATTTTCAAAAAATATCCCAATATTAAGATTAAAATGCTCTAACTCCAACAGCAAGTAAAATCCAAAAATGAAACTTTACATGATCATTAAATACATTGTCGGGAATCTTTTAAAAAAATAATTGCGAAAATTGGAGGACACCCTCATAATAAAAATCGAGGTCAATTGCCTCGGGGCCAACACTTTAGGAGGCTATAAGTCAGTAACCAGAGGTCACAAGAGTCTGAAATTTTGGATTTAATGTTTCCTCATAATATGCCATATGACATTGACTTCCATGGGGTGGCTGACTTGATAAAGACTGACCCTAATGTTCTACACCTCCTTTACCTCTAGACTATTTTACTGTTCTACACCTCCTTTACCTCTAGACTATTTTACTGTTCTACACCTCCTTTATCTCTACACTATTTTACTGTTCTACACCTCCTTTATCTCTAGACTATTTTACTGTTATACATCTCCTTTATCTCTACACTATTTACTGTTTTACACCTTCTTACCTCAAGAGAATTCATGTTCTACACCTCCTTTACCTCTTATCAATTTTACTGTTCTACACCTCCTTTACCTCTCATAAATTTTACTATTCTACACCTCATTTCTTTCAAGACAATTCTACTGTTCTCCACCTCCTTTATCTCTAGACTATTTTACTGTTCTACACCTCATTTATCTCTAGACTATTTTACTGTTCTACACCTCCTTTACCTCTAGACTATTTTACTGTTCTACACCTCCTTTACCTCTAGACTATTTTACTGTTCTACACCTCCTTTACCTCTAGACTATTTAACTGTTCTACACCTCCTTTACCTCTAGACAATTCTACTGTTCTACACCTCCTTTACCTCTAGACTATTTAACTGTTCTACACCTCCTTTACCTCTAGACAATTCTACTGTTCTACACCTCCTTTATCTCTAGACAATTCTACTGTTCTACACCTCCTTTATCGCAGGACAATTCTACTGCACTAAGATTATTACCTTAAAATCCCTCTACTATTTCACTCCTGGTTTTGCCTGCCCCCCCCCCCTCCCCTCCTTCCATATCACTTCACCACCTCCTTCCCTTCCCCGAGCTAGCTCTTTAAACCCCTAGGTTTGGACCCCCTTCCCCTCCCCGAGATAGCTCTCTACACCCCTACTCTAATCAGAACAGGAGATAGGAATAGGATTACTCAATATCAATCCTTACAACAACTTCACATACAGACACAGACAAACTTTATAATCAGACAACATAGACAAACCTCACACAAAGAAAACACAGACAACTTTACAATTATACAACACAGACAAAATTTACAATCAGACAACATAGACAAACCTCACACAAAGAAAACACAGACAACTTTACAATTATACAACACAGACAAACTTTAAAATCAGACAAAATAGACAAGCAACTCACAAAGACAACAAAGACAAACTTTACAATTATTCAACACAGACAAACTTTACTATCAGACAATACAGACAAACTTTACAATCAGACAACACAGACAAGCAACACACACAGACAACACAGAGAAACTTTACAACTAGACAACACAGACAAGCAACACACATAGACAAACTTTACAATCAGACAAAACATACAAGCAACACACAGACAACACAGAAAGACTTTACAATCAGACAACACAGACAAACTTTATGATTAGACAACACATACAAGCAACACACACAGACAAGTTTTACAATCAGACAACACAGACAATAAAAATACTCAGACAACTCCCAAGACAAACTTTACAACTAGACAAAATAGACAAGCAACACAGTATGACAACACAAACAAAATTTACAATCAGACAACATAGACAAGCAACACACATAGACGTAGAAAATTAACTCATGCACACATACAACACCAAAATAATCTCTGGCCATTGTCAACCAACATGGACAGAGATGATGACCAACCAACAGACGAACTAAAGGCCAACCAACATGGACAGAGATGATAACCAACCAACAGACGAACTAAAGGCGAACTAGAGACGAACTAGAGACAAACCAGAGGCGAACTAGGGACGAACTAGAGACAAACTAGAGGCGAACTAGAGACGAACTAGAGACAAACTAGAGGCGAACTAGAGACGAACTAGAGACAAACTAGAGGCGAACTAGAGACGAACTAGAGACGAACTAGAGAGGAAATAGAGACGTACACTGCTAAAAGACAATAAGTTATATCTACCACCAACATTAGCCCACAATAATTACATAAGATAAAAGTAAAAGATCTAGAAAGAAAATTGTAAAGAAAAGTATAGAATAAAGTTAGCAAATCATGAAAAATATTCATTCAGAAATTTATGAGAGGCTTATTTATTATTATTACTTATGAATTTAATAAATTTGAAATGCCTCCGCTGGTTCAAATTTTAATCACTGGTTCAAATCTTTAATATTTAACTTTGAATCTGTGGTTCAAATTTAAAAAAATAGGTAGTTCAGCGACGAAGCTCAAAACGGTTGTCTTAATCCTGTAACCAACTTAGCAAAAGGAGATTCTATTTATCATTGCAAAAATTCGTAAGAAAAATTTTATATACCATAATGTTATTACTAATAAGTATGAAGATTTATTCTTGATTTAGTTTAATCAATCAGAATACCTGTAACACTGTAATTCATGCCACTATAGTCTAATATCCTGTCTGATTGCTCCAAGGGTAGAACTTCGATTAGATAATCTAGTATAGTGTTCCTTTTCTTCTCATTGTACTGTACTAGAGCTTCCTAAACATATATAACCTATTATAGTGTTCCTTTTCTTCTCATTGTACTGTACTAGAGCTTCCTATAGTGTTCCTTTTCTTAACATTGTATTACTGTACAGTACTAGAGATGTTTAAGGGTAATGCCTGATTCACAACAGTACCTTTGAAGCCTTTTTCTGATCAATAATGTGGAAGAAAATGTCGGTTTTCTAGCTTTAAAAGTGTTTACTTCTAATAACTCATACATATTTTTCTGTAGTACAATGCACCGCACGCAGAAAACGCAATATTATAACAATAACATGGAATTTCTTTATCAGGCAAAGCTTTTAAGGGTACCGTTGTGAATCGGGTCACTTGATATTACGCTTACAGTCCCTTTCAGTTTCCCCCTAAAGACGAGCTGGATAACGAATCAAAACAACGAAAGCAGTCGTTTCTATAAGAATAAATTACAATTGTTAAAGCCGTTTTTTTTATCAAAATAAACAAAAAAATTTACATTTTGATTTATTTTTGTACACTCACCTCGAACCTCATTAAATTTATATCCATATTAGTAGATCCTACACGAAACTTACAAATATGTTCATCTAATGGATATCTTTCAAATCTAAACAAAAATAAAATTTAAAATCTTTGAATTCGAAACTCATGATTTGACTAGGAAAGAATCCCAAATGTTTAAAATCCAATTTTGTTCATTATGTGCAAAATAGACGAATTTCGAAAGTAAAGTTTTCAAAGAAATAAAGTACAATATCAGGGTATCAATGATCTGAAAAAGATGAATAACGAACAATGTTTATGAAAAATATTGTCTCCGCGTGACATATTTTCGGATTCTAGCTCTTGTAAATTGTAACAAACAAATCTTGTTTTTCTTCCATTATTCAATAAATATATTCTTTAGAAATACATCGTGCTTAAAAAGATGACATTTAGATTATAATTTTTGATAAAATTCCTTTATTTTGGGTAATGGTTTTAATTGAAATTTCTGTTTTAGGGAAATGTTAACAGATGTGTATAATTAAAAATTCATGAATACAATCTGACGAATGATGCAATTTTAACCCTTACTTTTACTGTTTACTTTAGAAAAATGTTAACAGATGTGTATAATTAAAAATTCATGAATACAATCTGACGAATGATGCAATTTTAAACCTCACTTTTACTGTTCACTTTAAATTAGGGTTTCCACTGAAATACAATTGTTTCATTTGCTTAAATTTTTACATAATTAACAGAACGAATAATGATGTATAGATACAAATATGAAACGGGAATTTTTGTTGACACCATGCACATATACTTTCTTCAGATATGGTGTTTATCATTCTTTTGTTCTATTTATTATAATAAAGGCAAACTCAGAATATTGATATAAAAATAAATCAAAGATAGAAAACATAAAATAATGCAAAAAAAATGTTCCCAAAAACTAAAAATGTTGTCAAAATATAATTTAATCTGGAAAATGAATTCTCTTTCTTCTGTTTCCATTAAAAATGAAATTACACTGATCGTCACACTCACCTCATTGGACAAAGGAAGGTGACAGAACAGAACTGATTGTACATAACATCCTTCCCGTCAATAATCCATACCCCTGTACATAATATAGTTAGAAAATTATTGTACATAACATCCTTTCCTTCTATAATCCATTCCCCTGTACATAATATAGTTAGAAAATTATTGTACATAACATCCTGATCCCGTCTATAATCCATACCCATGTATATAATAAAGTTAGAAAATTATTGTACATAACATCCTACCCATTTAATAGTTACAGTTAAATCTTTGTATATTACATTAAATAATAATTATTTACAACTACTTTACAGGGAAGTTAGGGAAATTTTACTTTACCAAGAGATCCCAAAACATCCAGAGCGCAGTTGGCAAAATTGATCGAGGGGACCCTTGGTTAAATAAGAATTTTAATTTCCCGAAAAAGTAGGTATACAGGTTTACACCGTTTTATCGTCTTTTGAGATGAAAATGCCCGACTTTTTCACCAAAACTTTGCAGATCGGATAGATATTTTACTTAACTGTCACAAGGGAAGTAACGTAACTAAATTTCCCTCTGTTGGGGGAATGCCTTCATAATCAAACGTAATGTAATACGTTGATAATCTTCTGACAGCAGTTATTTCGATATTTCTCAACTCATGAAAGTAATATAAAAATACTTAAATATAAAATTCAACCAAAAATGAGAAGATTTTTTTTGTCTTTTTTTAAATTATTAATCAATTATTCCTGATTAATTAGAGTAATGAATAAAGCATTTCTTCAATAGTGACGAAATAATTAATTGTTTTCTTTGATAATAATTCTGAAATGAGAAAGAAGTAAGTTGTGTGTCACAAAACTTTTTATTGAAGTTTATTGTTTAGCAACAATAATCTATCTGTCTATTTATCCATCTATCTATCTGTCTATTTATCTATCTATCTTTCTGTCTATCTATTCATCTATCTGTCTATCTATCTATCCATATATCTATTGTTGTTCAAAATTGTTCAAAGAATTGTAACTACTGAGGATCGTCATGATAGACGTGAAACATTATGTTTAGTATAATTCTTTTTTAATAAAAAATGTGAAGTTAAAAACTGAAATATCCATATATCTATATATATCTATTTAAATATGAAACGAGTATCAGTATCCATTTTCAGTATTCGTTCAAAAATCATTTTGCCCTTGTTAGAAAGGTTGGGAAGAATAAGTTTAAATATTCCTCAAATCAGAAAAGGGGAATTTTTGTCTATGACATTAAAAGCAAGCTACAAGCTTCAAATGTTTACCCAACACTGCAAACTAGACAAAGGAGAAGTTGAAATGTATGCGACATCACCACTATAATGTTGTGACCTCGTAGCTCCGCTAAAGTATGAGAAAAGTAAAGTTATTTGGTTTCATATTAGAAGTTCAAAACAGTCTTCTTAATAGCTGTTCAATTATAGGCGATCTGATTGAAAACTTTCTTACTTGCAATTTACTATAGTTTGACGTGGCAATCCTCAAATCTAAATATTGTGTTTATCTACCCTAGTTCCTAGGATAGAAGAATAAATAGGAATAAACTTGGAAAACAGGTTTAGCTTGGTGTTAGAATAAACAAACAAACATACAATTTTAAAAACAAACAGCTTCCAGGAGTGCTGTGATGTATATATGAAGAGGGTATGTGGTTCAAAGGAAGATGAGCCATGGGAACATGGAACTAACAAGTATATGTAGAGTGTACAGTGTAAATTAGTTACTGGTAAGTATTTACCCCTAAGTGTGTACTGTGTATAGACCAGGTACTGGTAAGTATATACTCCTAAGTGTGTACTGTGTATAGACCAGGTACTGGTAAGTATATACTCCTAAGTGTGTACGGTGTATAGACCAGTTACTGGTAAGTATATACTCCTAAGTGTGTACTGTGTATAGACCAGGTACTGGTAAGTATATACTCCTAAGTGTGTACTGTGTATAGACCAGGTACTGGTAAGTATATACTCCTAAGTGTGTACGGTGTATAGACCAGTTACTGGTAAGTATATACTCCTAAGAGTGTACTGTGTATAGACCAGGTACTTGAAAGTATATACTCCTAAGTATGTACTGTGTAAATTAGTTACTGGTAAGTATATACTCCTAAGTGTGTACTGTGTATAGAACGGGTACTGGTAAGTATATACTCCTAAGTGTGTACTTTGTATAGAACGGGTACTTGTAAGTATATACTCCTAAGTGTTTACTGTGTATAGACCAGGTACTGGTAAGTATATACTCCTAAGTGTGTACTGTGTATAGACCAGGTACTGGTAAGTATATACTCCTAAGTTTGTACTGTGTATATACCAGGTACTGGTAAGTATTTACTCCTAAGTGTGTACTGTGTATAGAACCAGAACGGGTACTGGTAAGTATATACTCCTAAGTGTGTACTGTGTATAGACCAGGTACTGGTAGGTATATAGTCCTAAGTGTGTACTGTGTATAGACCAGGTACTGGTAGGTATATAGTCCTAAGTGTGTACTATGTATAGAACGGGTACTGATATGGTTAAATTTTGCTCTAGGTTTGTGATTTTTAGATCTGATAAATATGTAGTTTATGGTTTGCACTGTATACTGTGTACAACTAATATTCTGAAAATATCTCTGTGTTTACTCATGCTGACAGTATATGGTCAGTATTATACAAATGAGGAGAGGGGGAGAAGAAAGTGGGAGAGGACAAACAGGAAGTTTACTTATCAACTTTTAAACGATGTGATGCAAAATATCTATAATGTGAAAATATTATCCGTTGAATTTCTTTAAACTTCGCACAAAGTTAGAAAAACATGAATAATTTAAATTTGAATTCTTGTAAAAAACCTGGAAAAATGTTAAATCGACGGTGATTTAACACCTACACGTGATATTCTACTGTTGTCTTTAATATCCGGGTAGTTAGATTAAATTAATCTAATTATTCATAATTTCTTAGCTCTCGAGGCGAGAAGATCTTGCCGTGCCTTTCTATCTAAAGAAATTATCGTTTTTTAAATTTAATTTCATATAATTTTTTTGACAAAAAGCTGTATGGCTAAAAACTTAATCCTGAGCTGAACACTTTTGAATGGGATATCCTTAATCCATAATCCCGATCCCTTACTCTGAATATCCAATGTACACATTTTTATTTTCTTCTTAAAGGGGCTGTAAAGGAAAAATGAAAGGGGGTATAGGAAGAAAAATGTAATTTCAGGCGTTGAACGATAGATATAAGACATCTATCTGATGTTCGAGTTGTAGTATCAAACAGATAATATTCAACAAATACGCAACCAATCTGAAAACGACTATTTCCCACAGGAGCCTGAGAATCTCAGATTTTCTCCTGTTATAATTTCTAAATTTTTTTCAGCATTTTTAATAGATATAAATGATAATTATAACGAATAATACATACGTCACAACATTTTGATTCAACATTTTGATTCAACATTTTGATTCAACATTTTGATTCAACAATTTGATTTAACATTTTGATTCAACATTTTGATTCAACATTTTGATTCAACATTTTGATTCAACATTTTGATTCAACATTTTGATTCAACATTTTGATTCAACATTTTGAGTCAACATTTGATTTAACATTTTGATTCAAGATTTTGATTCAACATTTTGATTCAACATTTTGATTCAACATTTTGACGCAACATTTTTGCAAATTTTAGACACGCAATTTGGCAATTCTTGAAAGTTGTGAAAAAAATGCAAACAAATTATGTTAATGTGTGTGCAAGGATTCCGAAAAGGAATATATTTTGAAAATATTATTCTTAAATATTTCTTCTTTCCAGGTAATTAACCAATGTTTAAATTTGACACAAGTAATTCAAACTTTTAATTAAAAACTTATCAAAAGATTGAAAATATAAATGAGAGATTATCTTATTGAATTAAAATTTGTTCTTTAACGTGGAACTTAGGGTTTTTCGATATTCCCTTCGATATTTCGATGTTAAATGGGTTTTCAGCATCCTGCGTATCCTTCTATTTTCACAAACACTCCTTTTTAGGGAATAAATGATCTAAACGTAAAGATTAACTGTCTAGAATAAAGAAACCTATTAATTATAAACAAGAAGAACAGAGGAGATACCGAGGTTTAAGAGGTTTATAAATAAACAAGATTTGATCTGAACTGTCCTAAAAACCAGATTTATTATTTCTTTTCAGAAATTTCACTGTGGATTTTTAACCAAGCAAAAGAGTAAAGGAGTAAAATATGAACTATGTTTATAATACACTCTATACCTGCTAGCCTTTTCAAAACATCCATTGATTTAAAGCTTTTTAAGTCGTAGATGAAGATATTGGGAACCCAGAGATCCTAAGCAAAATTAACTTTTTATAACGATAATTATTAAAAATTCATGAATAATAAAAACCGTTTTTACATCATGATTACAAGATAAAAGTGGTTTACAAAATGTCATTAAAGTTATCCCAGAAAAAGAAGAAGAATTATGCTCTATAATATGTAATTTGTACAGAGCAATGGACAAACATGTTATTCATACTTATCAATGTTTTTGAAATATTTGTTTTTTATTAATTTTCGCAATATATTTTGACTGATTCGCTCCGAAACATTTGTTTTCTTAAACATTGCTGAATGTAAAAGACGTAACCAATCCCTTTACAATCCCTCTACCATTTGAACATATCACATATCAACAAAGAGAATAAATATACATTAGAGGGGAATTTACTAGAAAAAAGTGTAAAACAACCATTTTGTTGTACTGTTTCCATACTGCAGGCGTACTTCACATATTTGTGCCATATAACCTTTTAGGCCCTGGAATATCATTTTATAGTAAATCTAAAATTATTGTTAAAAGAAAACCAAATTATGAAATAGGCTGGTTTCATTATTGACCAATGATCATTTCACATAGACTCTATGCCTTTCACTTTACAAACGATGATTTTTCGTTATAGCTATGAATCAAATGATGTTTTTATTCACCTAATTCATTATAAAGTTTATTCAACAGCTTTAAAAAATTCGAAATTCAAATGGATAGTCTAGGGAACATACTGTATTAATGTACACTACTGCATATAATTTGTGAACATTTACATGATTTGTACACTTTGAACTTCCTTTCAGGCTGAAAGGGACTGAACAAATTCATACCAAGAAATTCTCTAAATTCCCCTCTAATATATATTCTATTCTCTTTGCATATCACCTTTATCTTTTAACTTGTTTGTTATCTTTATCATCTTTTGTTTTTCTTTACTTTACGAAAAAGCATCAGCTGATAAATGTTTTTTTTTAAATGTCCTTGGACAAATTGGAATAGAAAATGATATCTTGCTGGGACAAGGAAAGAGAATTTGAATGAGTGTAATATAGTTAGATCACCTGTAAAAACTCTAAAGATACAGGAGACCAAGAATCTGCTTCAACTAAGCAACATAAAATCTTCAAAATTTGACAAAAAAGTTTGAAAACATTGAAAGTATTGAAAACATTGAAAGTATTGAAAACATTGAAAGTATTGAAAGTATTGAAAGTATTGAAAAGTATTGAAAGTATTTTAAGTATTGAAAGTATTGAAACTATTGAAACTATTGAGTTGAATTTCAAAACTTGAAGGATAGATAAAGTGAAGTATTTATATCCCTGTACTATTGATTTAAAAACTTGAAGGATACATATAAAGTGAAGTATTTATATCCCTGTATTATTGATTTAAAAACTTGAAGGATAAATAAAGTGAAGTATTTATATCCCTGTATTATTGGTCTGTATTCTGCTCTCTTCCCATTGGACGGAGAAGTACATGGATAAAGTTATAGAAAACTCCTGAAAACAAACAATGCTATATAAACAGTACATTAATAAATATACAGAAAACTCATAAAATTAAACAATGGTACATGACAAGTACATCATAAAGTTATAGAAAACTCCTGAAAACAAACAATGGTACTCAAACAGTACATAGATAGTTATAGAAAACACCTAAAAATATACATTGTATAGAATTTTAAAGATTAATTAGCTTATTTATATTTCTTAATAAAGTTGACACATTTTTAGAATAGCACAGATAACAATTTACGCACTTAGTAATTTAACCCGCCAGAAAGTTCATCTTTTTAGAGAATAAGAACAAGTCTATGATATAGTTTATTAGTAATATATTTGTAGGTAATAAACTATCATGCAGGAGAACATGTTGATCCGATGCAGGTTGGAGAACTACTGGATTTACACCAGCATATATCTTTTCCCGTATTTTCTCCCTTTCCTTCAAGGATTCTTAGTTCAGATTTAAGGAGAAAATAGATCCTCTACAGGGGTTCCCCCCAAGTCTCGAGATCCATTTGAGGTTGAGACTGATGTGGATTTGACAAAGGATATAGAGATGTCCCTTGGACAAGGTTGATTTGGGTTGCTTATGAGTTGTTGATCTTCCTCCTCCTCACGTCATGATCAACCTTAAGTTAGGCTGGCCAGTGGCCATTTGAAGAGATCATTTGTAGTGATGGCTAGGCAGGATATATTAAACCTGAAGAGAACTGGAGTCCAGAATATCTTCGAGTAGGTTAAAAATTTTGAAGTGCTGAGTTTTAGCTTATAAGTTTCAGGAGTAGCTAAGTAGCTTGTTAGCTCCTGGAGTAGCCAAAAATAACTTGTTAGCTCCTGGAGTAGCTAAAGTTTAGCTTATTAGCTCCACGAGTAGCTAAGGTTTAGCTTATGAGCTCCAGGAGCAGCTGAGTAGATTGTTGGCTCCATGAGTAGCTGCATTGCAAGAAAAATCGTCTTTGGAGGAATATTCTTCAGTGAAGACTTGTTCTTCTTCCGGTACATTTTCAAAAAATCTATTAGTTGAACTTCAATTTCATTAGGCAAGGCTGTAATCACATGATGATATTTGGTTTGTTCATTGTTAATATTCTTTATTGCAAACTGGGATTCGGCTTGTGCGAACCAAAGTTTAGCTCCATCGGCCCAGAAATGTGGTAGTTTAAGAGCTATTGATTGAATATTGTCCACTGAAACCACAGCCATTGTTCTTCTTCGGGGTCACCAATTTAGAGAATAAGAACAAGTCTATGATATAGTTTATTAGTAATATATTTGTAGGTAATAAACTATCATGCAGGAGAACATGTTGATCCGATGCAGGTTGGAGAACTACTGGATTTACACCAGCATATATCTTTTCCCGTATTTTCTCCCTTTCCTTCAAGGATTCTTAGTTCAGATTTAAGGAGAAAATAGATCCTCTACATCTTCGAGTAAATTGTTTTTTTTTTTTCCTGTTCATGAAATAAGAAAAGGATAATCCGATAAACATTGTTTTAAACGATTAAATATTTCCCTTCAACTTTCAAAACAATAAAAGAGATTTCAATAAAAATAGAGGAATATGGGTTGCACGGGTCGATTTTTCACCCCCCCCCCTTATAGCTTAGGGGGGGGGGCTTTTTTACCAGCAAAGATATTGAAAATCTATAACATATTTCAAATAATTAAATTTTTAAAAGCGCCAATTTTTAATACATTTGAGTTTTTAGAATATATAGTTAGGTCTGGACTCTAGATATATTGATGTTAGGTACTTTCCCGAACAGGCAATTTTCCATGTCCGGCAACTTCCCAAGCCTGTCATTGAAAATTATCTTTTATTATAATTGTTGTTGATTTAACCCCTCTATATCTGTATTTATCTTTAACCTTATCGTTGACTCCAAGTATATCTAGGATCTCTAGGTTCACATTAATCATCACAGCCTTCTCAGGGTTAGGCTGCTCAAGCTTCTGGTATCCTAAACATCAGACAAATACTTTTAGAAGAGTTTAATGTAACTCTGGTATCTAAACACCAGAAAAATTCTTTTAGAAGAGCTTAATGTAACTCTGGTATCCTAAACACCAGATAAATACTAGAGGAGTTTAAGTTAAGCTCTGGTACCCTAAACACCAGACAAATACTAATAGAATTGTCTAATTTAAACTCTGATATCCGAAACACCAGAAAAATACTTTCAGAAGAGTTTAATGTAACTCTGGTATCTAAACATCAGACAAATATTTTTAGAAGAGTTTAATGTAACTCTGGAATCCTAAACACCAGACAAATACGTTCAGAAGAGTTTAATGTAACTCTAGTATCCTTAACACCAGATAAATACTTTTAGAAGAGATTAATGTAACTCTGGTATCCTAAACATCAGACAAATACTCTCATAAGAGTTTAATGTAACTCTGAACACCAAGCGAACTTTGAAAGAATAAAATAATCTAAAGGTTGGAATCAAAAACACCAGAAAATTGTACACAAGAAAACGAATATGACATAAATGCAAGCCCTAATTTATATTTCTAATTTGAACACAAGAAAACGAATATGACATAAATGCAACCCCCTAATTTATATTTCTAATTTGAACACNTGGTATGGATGAAATAAATGCAACCAATAATATATATTTATAATTTGAAAACTAGAATAGTATGGATGAAATAAATGGAACCAATAATATATATTTCTAATTTGAAAACTAGAATGGTATGGATGAAATAAATGTTGTATTGCTGAGCCAAGAAAAATATCCAATTTTGGATTCTGTATTTCTGAAATTAGATTCAGAAAAAAAAACTTGACCAAAACCAAATTGAAAAGAACGAAAACTCTGAGTTTAAAAATGAATGATTTTAGATATTGAAGGAAAATGAGAATGATTAAAAATCTATTTTGGTTTACCTCTTGGAAGACACCAACCCAGTACACACTTAGACATTCCTAGATATTCAGGTTTTTATAAATTAACAGTGAAACAGAAACTGTAGGAAAAACAGAAGCTTGAAACAGAACAGAGACTGTAGTAAACAAAAACTGCAAACAAAATAAAAACTGTAAACAAAACAAAAGCTTGAAACAAAACAAAAACTGTAGTGAAGAAAATTGCAAACAAAATAGAAACTGTAGTGAACAAAACTGCAAACAAAACAGAAACTGTAATCAAAACGAAAATTTGAAACAAAACAGAAACTGTAGTAAACGGAAACTGCAAACAAAACTGAACTGTAGCAAACAGAAACTGCAAACAAAACATAAACTGTAACCAAAACAAAAATTTGAAACAAAACAGAAACTGTAAGCAAAACAGAAACTTCAAACAAAACAGAAACTGCAAACAAACAGAAACTTTAATAAAACAGAAACTGTAAGCAAAACAGAAACTTCGATAAAACAAAAAACTGTAGTGAACAGAAACTGCAAACAAAACTGAACTGTAGCAAACAGAAATTGCAAACTAAACAGAAACTGTAGTGAACAGAAACTGCAAACAAAACAGAAACTGTAAGCAACACAGAAACTGTAAGCAAAACAGAAACTTCAAACAAAACAGAAACTGCAAACAAACAGAAACTGTCAGCTAAACCGAAACTTTAATACCACAGAAACTGTAGTAATCAGAAGCTGTAAGCAATACAGAAACTTTGATAAAACAAAAACTGTAGTAAACAGAAACTGCAAACAAAGCAGAAACTTTAAGCAAGATCTATAATCTCTATGTCTAATTGTATACATATCTATCTATATATATATCTATATATATATATATATATTATATATCTACCTGGAGGAGTATGTTCATCATCTTGATGTAGAGTAGGTGGAGGGAGAAGGAGAAGGAGAAGACAGAGAATACACAGAACTTGAATCCGTAGTTTACTATACATAAAATACATAGAAATATCAGATTATATTTAATTAAATTCAAATACATTTGTTGGGACTTTTAAATTGCTGATCAGGCCTCAGTATATGGTGAATATGTTTAATTGAGTTTTAGTATTTAATTGTGACAAAAATTATATTTAGATTGTAACTCAGAATATATTTAGTTTGCCAAAACAATATTTTGTTAGATCGTAAATTATGACATTAATTCGTACAGTGTAATTGAGCTCTGGTTTCTATTTGCATACTTTAGCAAATTAAAAATGAGATATATTTAAAAATTATCTTCCCACTTTTGGATCTTCGAAATCCGAAAGAAATAAGATAAGTAGCTGTTTTAAGAACATTTGCACATTCGTACATTTTGAACCAATTTTTAAATCCAATAATAGAAAAATTTTAACAAAATGATTAAAATAACCTTAAGATCTCCCAACACTTCAAGTAGAAGTGCATTCTCCAAACCTCACCGTAGTTGTACCTCTACCTAAACTTTTAAACATTTGAGACATAATTTGAGAATTTAATTCTAAGAATTTTTAGCATTTTAACAATAAACAAAAATTTGATTGAAAATTAACAGCAAAAAAAAATTTCGAAAAAAACTTAAATTAAATTTTACTTGAGATATTTCTTGATTTTTAAGAACTAACAACAGAATGAAAATTTCAAACAAAATAGAAAAATTATTTAAATAAACTGAAATTGTAATTAAATCAATGACAAAAATATGAATTGTGAATTCATTATGCAACAATTAATGTATTTGAGAATGCTAAACTTATTGATAAGTGTACAGTTGAAAATGTACATTTATCAACCTGTACAGGGTTACCCACAAAAGATAAGACCTGAGAGACGACTGTCCGGAATCAATACAAACTTTTAAGTACAGTCTTGGTTATTCACTGCCACTTAGAACTTTCTTTTTCTCTAAAATATCATTTTAAGTATATTTTAATAAGTTCTACGAACGACTTAATTCAATCTTTAAATCGTTTTATTTCGTCATTATATAGTCTTATTCTTTTTGGTTAACCCCGTTCTCAATTTTAAATATAAGTTCAATTACAAGCTAACCTCCTGATCAAAAGTTCTACAAGTCAAATCATGACAAGAAGTTTAATCACTGCAAACTAGTTCTTAAAAACTATTTCTTCATGTTATCTGAAATATAAAATTATTCAATTCAATTCTTCATTGAAATTGTCTCTCTTATTTCTAAAGGTTCAGTACGCTTATTTTACACTGCCATCATAGACATATCAATTTGTTGTCTATATATTTGTTGGGTTTTGAATTTTTCTTCTAAAAAATTGATGTTAAAAATTTCCAAAATAAATTAAATTCGGAAAAAAGAAACAAAGCGCCATGGATTTCTATATCTCATTAGATTAGACTGATATATACATAAGTCTAATATATTCCTTTAATTATTCTTTTCAAATACGAAAACATAGATAAAGGCAAAGTATGCATTCACCATATATATCATATGAAAACATAATATAAACATATGTTTGATATTACAAAAAGATCAATTTAAAACGACGAAAAATTAAAACTTTGTCTTAAAGAATGACGAACGTTTTTTCTGAATATTTTAAACAATTCATATTATTTTTCAATTGAGTGCCGGAAAACAGTGTTTGCTGTACAGTAAGGTTTCAAGAAACACAAATCAATTAATGACTATTTGTGGCCGAAAAACCGGTCATACAGTTGATTTTTATTTATTTTCAAATATGTCGATATGGGTATCAAAAGATCCGTCTTTCATTATTTTGTAAAAAGTTCTTTTTTCCGTTAAATATAATAATTTTGTCTTGATAGACGCAACAGATAGAAGTAAGCTTAATAGCGATCAAAAGCGCTTATTTTTCGACGTAAGTCTATACCCCTTTTATTTTTCGCAAACACTCAGTAAAAAAAAATAATCAGACAAAGGTCTTCTGGTTATTTTTAGAAATAACGTCTGTGTCAAATCTATCTAAAATGTATATAATAAATGTTTACTCTAATGATTTAACTTTAAATTTTCAAATGCTATTTGGAGAATTAATTGTCTTTTTCCCCACAAAAAAGGTATTCAAATACCATAACCATTAACCTTGTATTAATCTGACATGATCAGAACTGAAAAATGTCCCCATGAAATATTATTTTTGAATGAATTAAAAATTTAAAAACTTAATTATTCTTGTTTTATATTATGATGAATAATTAAAATAACCGATGAATGTATAAATGTTACGAAGCGTCAATAATTTCTAAAAGTTAAAAAGCGCTAGTTTTTTTCTGTGCTAAACATGATGCTGCTAACTGTAAATCTATGCACAACTAATACTTGATGCAATATAGTAATATGTTTAATGTTATGGAACCAAAATTGATAATTTATCAATAATATGTCTGCAGTCTAAAAAGTCGAAGTATAATAATAATATCTCTCAAATCCTATTGAATGATCTAAACTAGAAAGCTATATAATATTTGAGATCCTAGTGTCTGATAATCTAGAAAACTAAATAATATCTCTCAGATCCTAGTGTCTGATAAACTAGAAAACTAAATAATATCTCTCAAATCCTATTGAATGATCTAAACTAGAAAACTAAATAATATCTCTCAGATCCTAGTGTCTGATAAAGAAAACTAAATAATATCTCTCAGATCCTAGTGTCTGATAAACTAGAAAACTAAATAATATCTCTCAGATCCTAGTGTCTGATAATCTAGAAAACTAAATAATATCTCTGAGATCCTAGTGCCTGATAAACTAGAAAACTAAATAATATCTCTCAGATCCTAGTGACTGATAAACTAGAAAACTAAATAATATTTCTGAGATCCTAGACGTCTGATAATCTAGAAAACTAAATAATATCTCTCTGATCCTAGAGTCTGGTAAACTAGAACACTAAATAATATCTCTGAGATCCTAGTGTCTGATAAACTAGAAAACTAAATAATATCTCTCAGATCCTAGTGACTGATAAACTAGAAAGCTAAATAATATTTCTGAGATCCTAGTGTCTGATAAACTAGAAAACTAAATAATATCTCTCAGATCCTAGTGTCTGATAATCTAGATAACTAAATAATATCTTTGAGATCCTAGTGTCTAATAATCTAGAAAACTAAATGATATCTCTCAGAAACCAAATAATATCTCTGAGATACTGGTGTCTGATAAACTAGATATCTAAATAATATCTCTGAGATCTTAGTGTCTGATAAACTAGAAAACTAAATAATATCTTTGAGATCCTAGTGTTTGATAAACTAGAAAACTAAATAATATCTCTGAGATCCTTGTAACTCGCAAACTAGCTTTAAAATAAAATTGTCCATGAATAAAGTGCCGGGGGGGAATGAATTTCAATTTATATCTTCCCTGTAAGAATTTGTAGAGTGTACACATTAAACTTTGCACTTCAAAGTGTGAAAAGTAAAGTGTCATTATTCTTCTGTCTGCAAAATATTAAAGAAGTTGATAACATGTAGATCTTTAATTTCAAGTCTTTAAATATATCCAAATGTATTTTTATACATTTCTAAAACTTGAAAGAGATTTAGAAAAAGATGATTGTAGAGATATATATCTTTATTTCTTTCAATTTTCTAAATGAAAACCATCAGCTCCGCATCACACGGTAATCCTGAGTTTAGAATCCATAACACACTTATCCTGTCTAGAATACTCAACCTTTCTATATGGATATGTGCCAAGATTTCTTTTAATTTGTACTCTTATCCCGATAATCAAGGATAACCTAGGTATTACAGTTTGGTCTCTAGTAAGGAACTGTAACGAACATGTGTTCCTGGGCAATATAAGCAGTTATTGATTATCATAACCGAGCTGAAAGACATGGGTTTGCTTGATCAATGGATTTATATCTTATCCAAAGTCTTTGATGTAGTTTCGTGGATAACTGTAACAGTTATTCAAGGAAATTGAAGATCAAGAAGTATCTCCAGGTGTTCTTAGAACACTGTTATATATACAGAGGACAAACTTATCAGGTACAGTACAATGGAACAATTATAATGTATCTAGACCTTTTAAAGTTTACAACAGTGTGAAACAAGGAGCAGTTTCCTCTCTTATCCTATTTTGTATATTTATGAACAAATTGATATCAAAGTTAAGAGTGTTTATTGCAGTGGATGTCAACTTGGAGGAGTTTTCATCAGCATATTTATATATGCAGACGACATTATATTGCTTGGAGGAGTTTTCATCAGCATATTTGTATATGCAGACGACATTATATTGCTTGGAGGAGTTTTCATCAGCATATTTGTATATGCAGACGACATTATATTGCTTTGAGGAGTTTTCATGGGCATATTTGTATATGCAGACGACATTAGATTGCTTGCTCCTAGTAGAAACGGTTTACAATATATGAAGAATGTATGTGAACAATTTGCAAACTTACTTTCGATGAAATTTCTAACATGTAGTTGAAAAGTATAAGACTAAATGTATAATTTTTACAAAATATCCAACCACTGTCACAGTCCTCTAATTTAATGACCATGCTCTTGAGTAGATTTGTTTCATTCATTTCTTCATTAGAAAAATCGTCAAAATATGTATCAGACTTTTGATAAATCTTTAAAAATTTGATCAAAGGTCAGTAACTGCAAAAAATCTGAGAAATATTGCAGACAAATGCAACACACATTTGAATATTATTGACAAACATATTGTAAAAAATCGTATATGATATTTCAAGAAATGCCCGTGGAAGAAGAATGGACGATATTATTAATTTCATGTACACGACCTTATTATAGTACAGTTTTGTTTCTTGTATTTGTATTTATTTTCATATTTACACTTATAATTTTTGTGTCTATTTAATTGTAACAATTATTTAAATTTTGTACGTTCAGGAAATAGATAATAAATATAGAATATACTGAACTTTAGTCCAGTATCCACACTTATCCTGTATATAGAATACTGAACCTTAGTCCAGTATCCACACTTATCCTGTATATAGAATACTTAACCTTAGTCCAGTATTCACACTTATCCTGTATATAGAATACTGAACCTTAGTCCATTTCTGCACTTATCCTGCATATAGAATATTGAACCTTAGTCCAGTATTCACACTTATCCTTTATATAGAATACTGAACCTTAGTCCAGTATTCACACTTATCCTGTATATTGAATACTGAACCTTAGTCCAGTATCCACACTTATCCTGTATATAGAATATTGAACCTTAGTCCAGTATCCACACTTATCCTGTATATAGAATACTGAACCTTAGGCCAGTATCCACACTTATCCTGTATATAGAATACTGAACCTTAGTCCAGTATTCACACTTATCCTGTATATAGAATACTGAACCTTAGTCCATTATCTGCACTTATCCTGTATGTAAATACTGAAACTTAAGTCATGTGTCAACTTACTATGAAACGCAGGAATATACCAATAAAAAAATGAAGAAATTCAATTTATATTTCTGTATTATTGTATCCCTCTTTCACTTCATATCTCTTTGCATTTTATTTTTTTCAAAGGAAATGTTGTGATCAAAACAGGAATTGGAAATAAACTTTATGCAAAACTTTTTTACACAAAAAAAATTGAATTTGTCTCTAAAATGACAATTTTGTTTTATAGATACAAACATTTGTCTGTGCATGAAGAAAACTGCTTAGAACCTGGAATATATTTCTAATTAGATTACTCCCCTAAGCTTAATTGAAAAACTTGGAACTGATTGGTTGAGTGTTTCACGAACTTAAGATACTTTTATTCAAGTAGAATACTATTCCAGCGGAGGGAAGGTCGAAATGGGTATAGGGGTATATTATTCAAGTTGAATACTATTCCAGGGGTTGGAAGGTCGATAGGGGAATATTATTCAAGTTGAATACTATTCCAGGGGTTGGAAGGTCGATAGGGGAATATTATTTAAGTTGAATACTATTCCAGGGGAAGGAAGGTTGAAAGGGGCATAGTAATCAAGTTGAATACTATTCCAGGGGTAGGAAGGTCGATAGGGGTATATTATTTAAGTTGAATACTATTCCAGGGGAAGGAAGGTTGAAAGGGGCATATTAATCAAGTTGAATACTATTCCAGGGGTAGGAAGGTCGATAGGGGCAAATTATTCAAGTTGAGTAC